CCCGGGCGCATTAGCCTGCGTGGGGAGGCTTTGTTCTGGCAGGACTTTCTGAGAAAAAGCACAGGGGCATATGAGCATATTTGGTGCATGACGAAGGTGGACTGTTTCTGCAGCTTCTGGGGAGTCAAGCAGAGCATTTACTGGGGGGAGGGGGTGAGGTGCCAGGTAATGAGATGGGGGGCCGGGGGGGCAGGTGAGGTGACTGGTAAGGTGTGGCCCGCCTGGCTGTGGTTAAGGACACGACCTCGTTGCTCCGGTTTCTGCAGCAGTGGATGTTGTACATGACTGCAGAGGCTGATCCTGACTGGGGGTGCTGGCTCCCCCCCCCCCCCCCCCATAACCCCCTGTAATTGCCACAGGAGTTTTCATGTTCTGCCTTTTTCAAACTGGCTCGTGATGCTTTGGCTAAAACCTAAATCTTCATTAAGCACATTGGGGCAACTGAGTTGGCAAAGGTGCAGCTTAGAAATGACTGAACTGAAGTCAAACTGAACTGAGCCCTTTTTTAATGAGCGGAGCGCTGGGGTAACGAGAGCAGTGCTGTAATTGATAGCAGATCGCGGTTCTGCCTTTTACCAAGGCTGTGTGAAAACAGGCTTGAGATGATGAGCTTGTGTGAGTTTAAGGTCGCCCGGCAGAGTGAGAGCCATGCCGCAGGACACAGCCTGGCAATACCGAGGTTATTTACCAGTAAAGTCATATCCAGGCTGATTTAGTCAGAGCTTTGAGGTTAAGGAGGCTCCTGTCCAGCTGCCGCCTTCGTCCTAAGGGGCCCGGGGCCCTGGTCTAACTCACTTTTACCTCTGTCCTGGGCTTCATCAGGGACCCTATGACCAGCCTGTAATGAAACTGAAGCTCTCTAACTAAAATTAGAGGCAAATAATGAGCAAACTATTCAAGAGAATTCCTTTTTAACCAAGCGCTCAAATCCTGCATTGGGAGGTGGTGTGTAACTCATGTCAAAGGTCAATCTGAACTTTATTGTCATCACTGCTGTGTACAAGTATACAGAGAGACGAGACGACGTGGCTCCAGTTTTACGGAGTACACAGAACAACAGGGGAAACACTAAAGCACATAACCTTTAGATCCAAACCTAAGTAGACAGGACAAGAAGGAAAATAATAAGATACGTGCAAACAAGTCAATAATGTGCATCAGTCAAGCAGTCACAATTATGGAATGTACTTTTGCGCATTAAGAGTACATAAGATCAGCATGAGATTAGCAGTGTTTGATATGAGCAGCGAGTGCATCACAGAATCTGTGATGTGAAAAGTGCAGGGCTGCAGTGCTTGGAGTGAGTCAGTTCGCAGTCTGGGTGTGTGTGTGAGGTAGAGGTCAGGCAGGCAGTGTGTTTAGGAGTCTGATGGCTTGTGATACCATCTGCCTGATGGGAGCAGTGTGAGCAGTTCCTCTGAGGGGTGTGAGGAGTCGAGCACAACGCGGGAGGCCTTCCTGATGCAGTGTTTTCGGAAGATCTCCTGCAGCGAGGGGAGAGACGCACCGATGACGTTGCCGGCTGCTTTTACAATCTACTGCAGGCTTTTCCGGTCAGCAGCACCGGCACTGCCAAACCAAACGGAGATACGGCTGGTCAGGATGCTCTCTATGGTGCCCCTGTAGAACACGGTGAGGATGGGGGGGGGGAGGCTGGCCCGCTTCAGTCACCTTAGGAAGTGAAGACACTGTTGAGCCTTCTTGGTGATGGAGGCTGTGTTGTTGGTCCACGTGAGGTCATCTGAGATGTGAACTCCCAGAAACGTGGTGTTCTTATCAGCCTCCACCGTGGAGCCGTTGATCCTGAGTGGTGTGTGGATGTGGGTGGAGCAGGATTTCTTGAAGCTGATGATCATCTCTTTAGTTTTGTCCTCGTTGAGTGACAGGTTGTTGCCAGCTGCTGGACCACATCTCTGTATACTGACTCGTCGTTGTGGCAGATGAGCCCCAGCACTGTCGTATCATCTGCAAACTTGTTGATGTGGCCAAAGCTGCGTGTGGCAGTTCAGTCGTGGGTCAGCAGTGGGAACAATAGTGGACTGAGAACGCAGCCCTGAGGAGCTCCTGTGCTCAGTCTGATGGTGCTGGAAATGTTGTCGCCGATACCGACGGACTGAGGCCTCTCTGACAGAAAGTCCCGTATCCAGTTGCAGAGAGAGATGCTCAGTCCCAGCTCAGTCAGTTTCATGTACAGTCTTTGGGGGATGATGGTGCTGAATGCCGAACTGAAGACTATGAAAAGCATTCTAACGTAGGTGTCTCCCTCGTTTAGGTCAGTAGCGGATATGACGTCCTCAGTTGACCCGTTAGGCCGATATGCGAATTGTAGTGGGTCCAGTGCGGGCGGAAGGTCGCTCTAAGCACTTCATGGCAGCGGGGGTCAGAGCCATGGGGCAGTAGAGGTTAGGCAACTTACTGAAGATCTTTTTGGCAGTGGGATGATGGGATTGGGGGGGCTCAGCAAGTTCGGATTCTGTGCCTGTGGTCAGAAGGTCGCCAGTTCAGATCCCAGAGTTAGCAGAATGAACCTTAAACCCCAGGTGCTCCTCAGAGTGGCTGATCATGGTTTCTCAGTTATTTGTTGCTCTGGATAAGAGTGATGGCTCTGAAGCTGGGGATCGGCAGTCGGAAGGTTGCTGGTTTGGATCCTACGAATGCCAGGAGTGATCCTACTCTGTTGGGCCCTTGAGCAAGGCCCGTAACCTGCAATTGCTTCATCTTGGGTATGATGTTAATCTACATTTAGTCCTACATGGAGGTCCTTCAACTTATATGAAAAAATTGGGGGCTGGTGGCAGGATTGGTACTTCAGCCACCGGAAAAAACTCACACTGGTCCATTTGAACTAGTGTGGTGCTGAGGTATAACCCGCCACACGGCTGCACTCAGGCTCTCATCCCTGAGGTGGTTTGTCGTGTGGTGGGTGTGGCAACGTGCTATAATCAGTGTTTACTCTTCACCTCTTGCTAAGAGCATCTGCCAACTAAATAAAAAGTCTGTAAATGTGCTCAGGAAGGGGTTTGTGGTTTACAGCTCAGTCACTCCTGTGCTGCTTTATGCTGCACTGAGGTCAGGTCGTCCTGCAGAGCACAGCCGTCAGCCTGCGGCGGTTCCGGGGATCTTTGTGTTTTAAGGGGGGCCTGCATGGTGACCCAGCCCGAAGCCCACTGCGGCCGGTGACACATCCAGACCTTTTTTTCGTCCAGGGAGCGAGTTAAGCAGCACCTGAAATAGACATTTTATTTATCATTCGTATTCTCATCAATAGGATGTAGGTTTTACATGAGAATGAGGGCCGTGGGCACACAAGTTGAGTGTTCCTACAAACTGCAGCACTAATTAAAGAGGAATGCGGGGGAATGGATTCTTCCTGAAAATGGATTTGACGAATGATACTCACTCGGTCGCATGTAAATAGACCACGTGCGCCCTCATGTGGTGAATGCGAGTATGACTAGTGCCGCCCTACCCTCTGCTGCTGTCCCAGCCTGTTAATCATAACTGGTTACAGGCAGGGACGGATTATGGGTTGTGTGGGCCCCTGGGCAAAACGTTCGCGAGGCCCCCCCCCCACCACCAGCACAATTCAAGGGCCCTTGGCAGTCAAACGCCCTCCCTCCATGTTTCCATCAGAGGCCCTATAGGGTCAGGGGCCCTTGTAGGCAGAGGATCAAAGAATGTAGGCCCTCTAAACCCGTCCCTGGCTACAGGTGAATTCATTTCACACGCAGCTAACCAGCCGTTTATGCTGCTTTTCTATCCATCTACACTCTTATTTAATTTGGCTCGATTGAGCTTGTTGTATTAAACGAACTACTTTTAAATTCGATGTAAATTGTTTTCGTAATAATTGTAGTTGCGTAAAAAAACTAAATGTTATGTAGCATCGGTCATTTTAAAATCAAGTTTATGTTTATATACTTAACGTGTTTCGTAATTTCAGTTGTCAGTTCAATCAATATCACTGTAAAGCCTAATGAATTTATTAGCTAGACTAAATACAAAGAAATCCTGTTGCATATTTTGCGCTGTGTGTAAAGAAGGCAAATGAGTCTTTAAAGGTTTAAAGCTATTTAGATTGCCCGGTCATTAACCAGTCGGTTACCAGTATTGACAGTGATTTATAAATAAAATAGACAACTGTTCTCATGGTGTGTTATGAAAACGGCCGTTAGAGGGCGGTATTTCCCTTTAGAATAAGCTACTCCGCCGCGTGGTTTATGGTCTCCGCGTGCAGCAGAGCACGTGCCCGCGTCTCCACAGACTGGCCAGCGCGGGCGCGGAAGCCAGGGCTGGGTTTGGGCATAAAGCAGAATTTCTCTTTGCTGTCTATGACTCAGAAGGGAAGTAGCACTGTCTCCTTGGAGCTGAATTCAGAAAAACATTACAGGGAACAGGGAAGTAGTCCACCCCCTACCTCCATCCTAACTGCTACAGTACCACCCTGTGAGACCCTGAGGGCACTTCACTAGAGTTAGTAACCTTTTCAGCCTCAGTGATTCAAAATGGAGGCTGTAGTAACAAGGCAGTGGGCCTCCTGCTCCCCCCCCCCGCGGCTGATTGGCTGAGCCACTGCAGCAGCTGGCATTCATTAGCAATTTAGCACAGAGGCAAGGGTCCAATCAGCCTGCACAGCCTGGGGGCCTGAGCACAGCCTGGGGGCCTGAGCACAGCCTGGGGGCCTGAGCACATCGCGGCCCAGTATCTAACGAGCATTTCAATTATTGGGCTCGTCACTTTTCAGCAACATTGTCAGTGTTAAATGAGTTCAAAAGATACATTTAAGCAACTGCTTTCCAACTGTAGATCATCTAGTGGTGGAGAAACGAAACTGCATGGGGGAGCAACACGGGTGTTATGGCAGTTCCATCCGCGTGTGGGTGTGGGAATTCGGGGAGCACCTGCCCCCCCAGGCCACAGGCGGAGGGGGAGCCAACAGGCCCGGGAAAGGATTGCTGTCCACGTCACAGACATGGCCGTGTGCTGCCTCTCCCCCACAGGCCCTTTGACCAGGTGAGCATGATGACGGAGTACAGCTTCAGGACAGACGTGGGGTCGGCTGTCCAGTCTGAGGCCAGCTCCATGTTCAGCTTCGACATGTCCCCCTCCAGCCCCGGCTCCCCCAGCAGAAGGTCCAGGAAGGTGAGTGAAGAGCAGGTCGTCCTCTGCGGACCATCTGAGCGCGAGGCCTCGCCGATGATGATGAGCCGAGTCGAGTGGGCTTGACTGTCACACTGTCTCCCTAATAGTAATAATAATAATGCAGTGGGCTGTACTGTCACACTGTCTCCCTAATAGTAATAATAATAATGCAGTGGGCTGTACTGTCACACTGTCTCCCTAATAGTAATAATAATAATGCAGTGGGCTGTACTGTCACACTGTCTCCCTAATAGTAATAATAATAATAATAATAATAATAATAATAATGCAGTGGGCTGTACTGTCATACCGTCCATATACAGGTATACAGGTTTGTATACACACTGCATTGACTTTCCTTGGGGCCCCAAAAAGAACAAACATGGTTCGGGCTGCAGCCATGAGGCACCACCTTTCGCCCCGTCCAGGTTGCTGCCGACAGCCTACCCCCCTTTGTCTGGCGCAGGTGTAGCGTCAGGTTACACCGGTGTCCTTTGCTTTACCTGGAGTTGGGTGTCAGGCTGTGGAGGCAGAGCCCTGCTATCAATGTCGTGTTGAGAAAAAGAGCAAACAAACTGATGCCGGAAATTTAGAGGTGGTATAAACTCATGTCTGTGGTCCATTTGTCCACCAGTTAACTCTTCTGCAGATTTCTCCATGGAGGGTGTAGTTTGCACTATAACCAGAAGAGGGGAGTATTGGAAGCAGGTCTGCACTTTCTTCCTGGAGTAACTTCTGAAATATTTACTTCAGTTATTTAGTGTGGCAAAAAAATGGTAGGTAGGAACAAATTATATACTGATGTATCTGTAATGCTGAGTGCCAGATGTGTCTAAAATAGCAGCCCAAACTGGGCCTCCTCGGCTCATTCGAAGGGGAAGAGGAGGCCTTCCCCAGATCGGATTCCGGAGGCTGGTGCCAGATTTACTGCCGTAACCAACCCCCTTCCTTTTAAACAGGATGGAGGCTCACCTTGGGCTCCGTGTCCTGGATACCAGAATCAGAGGTTACCAAGGCTGCAGGGCGGGTCAGCCTGTTCCACCGTCCCCGCGGGGAGGAAAACGAGAAAGGTTGCAAAGGACACAAGCTGGGCCATCATACTATTTAAGGGCGTCGGAGAGAATTTGCTAATGGGATGGACACAAGTCCATAAATAAAAGGCAAAGGTCTGTTTAGTAGTTGTGCTTGCATCCATTACTCTGCCGTTACTGCTGCGGTCATGACAAAGTGCCCCAGCGCTCTGTGTACACCGAGGCATCTCCGCGGTTCTGAAGCTTCAGCCTTGCCCGTCTGCTGTCTGCCTTCGGGCTCCCGCACTGTGATCAGTGAATGGCTGTTTTGTAATCCAAACTGCAGCCTTTGGCACTGGTTCTGGTTTGGAGCAATTTAGATGCTTGGGCTGGGTTAGGGGGTGGAGCCTGAGGTGGGGGTTGGTTACTCACATGCCCGTCTCCAAGGCGCTGAGCGCGTCAGAGCTGTTCCCCAGCCATACTGGCTCCTCCGAGCTGGGGGTGTGAGGCAGGGTGGAGGGGGCCACTGTTGACATTACAGTACTCATTTACTTTGGGGTTACAGTACTTATCACAGTACTGACAGAGGCAGTGTAACGTATTTCTAACCCAAAGGTTTCTATTTAAATCTCTAGCAGTCGACTGCGGTTGTACCTTTTAGTGCTTAAAGTAATACGGTTCTTTGGGTGGATATTCTTGACAAAGACAGTAAATGTACAATTCATTTGCTATGAAGAATTATATTCAAGGCGGGTGCCTATATATAAATATGTCGCCGTCCCTCACTCGTTTGTTGCTAAATTTTAATTTCGAACGATTTAGGTACAACTACTGGCACGACTTAAGGCGGCAAGCTCGACTGCATCTAACCGGAGTCTCGCAAGGAATTTAATTAAATAGTGCTGTAATTCGTCTTGTGCCAATAATCCGTTTATGCTTTTGATGAGGATTTCAAACTTTACGCCTGGTTCTGCGAATGAAAGAAAAACTATCCCATCGAAGAATCAATCGAAACTATCCACTGATGTGCTCACGCGCGTCGCCTTCTTTGTAATGAGGAAACATACCGCCGAGGCACGCAGAGCCTGACAAGCCCGTCCAGCTGCGGCGTCCCTGTAACATGGGCCCGGTCTCCGGCTGCCACTCAGCATAGCGGCCTGTCTCTGAAGGGGGCGTCTTCGCAGTCAAACAGAAAAGGCAAAAGCAATCACGGAAAGTTTTATTATGTTTTATTAGTTTACGGTTGCGCAGGGGGCACGATTACTGTGAATAGGCATTGCTTGTTTAAATCAAAGCGTGTAAACACTGTGTACAAACATGTCCCTGTCACTGTCCACCGGCCGCAGTCTGTCCTATGAGACAGAAACCTGACAAGAAAGTGTGGACACAGTGGTGCATTTATCTCGTATGTTAGGTTTACAACCTGCCCAGACTTATCTGGTTTTTTATTGCGTGCCGGAACTATTGGAAATATTCAACATGGGCGAACAGTTATATCACTCTTGTGCAAAGCAAATTTAAAAAGTGGTTTATTTTTCAACTGCATGAGCTACGCGGAGGGGCATGAATGAGTCTTCAGGGTCTGAAGTTTTCCGCGGGAGTAGGTGCCGTTGTCAGCAGGGGAAAGCGTCTCTCCGCGCATCAATAAGGCGGGAATAATGCGGGGCTGCGTACCTGCACCAGCCGCGGGGGGGTGACGGCGCACCGGGGCTGTGTCTCCACCCAAGGCTCACATTCAATGCGGTTTTCGTTTCAAACAGATCGATCCCAATAGGATAACCACCCTTCCCAAAGGATTACTCCTTCCCCAGGCATTTAAGCAACTGGGCGTTGTTGAATATTTTTGCGAAAAGGTGCATGGCGTTGTCCGGGCAGGAGGTGACAGCCTGATCTCCAGTGGTCCGGATCATGCGATGCCCCCGTAGATAGCTTACGGAAGTGGGCTAAATTGGGGCTTAATTGCCGTGCTCTGCAGTTTGCCGTTCCTCTCCTTAAGTCCTGTTCGGACTTGTTTAATGGCAACGAGGAAGACAACGATTTTAAAGAAGCAGCAGTTGGGCAGCGTCCGTGCGCTCAGCTCCATGTGAGCTGCCGACTTACTTCGCGTGTTTTTCGGGCTCTTAAGGAATCAGTCATGGCAGAAAGGCAAGTTTGGTGATCGCCGATTGAGTGCTTTTTTCGCGTTCATAAATGTGCTAATTTAAGATACCATCTTAGTCTAGTGGTTAGCCTTTGTTCAGATTAGCGTGTCTTGTGCGTTTTAGTTTGAACACTTATTTTTGCTCGTTCTAGATATATTTAGATGTATGTGACTAAAGAGTTGCGAACTTTAACATACAGTGTGCTTTTGATCTGCAGGAATACAGTCTGGTGTAACTGTTTCATATGTTCTGAATTTGGTCAGAATGTACTCGTATATGACCGATGAATAAGTTACAAATTCAGATGGAAAGGCTCTAAGGGACGTCTTTGGACTGAAGTTACAGTATATTTTTAACGGCACCGACTGGAGCGTAAAGGCGGACTGGCTCGGCGAGCTGGACCCGCCTCTCCGCGCTCCGTGTCACGCTTGCCTAGTCCTCTCTGCGCCTCGGAAAACGTGGCACAGGCTGGAAGGAGGAGTCTGTAACGCGGGGAAGGGCACTTCGGGAGGGCGGAGGTGGGGACTGTCCCCGCAAAAAGCTCCCGATCCGGCTCACACTTTGTTCTTTTTTGTTATCTACGCAGCATCCCAAACGCAGACATCAACGAGTGCGAAACTGATGGTGGTTTAGTGAGTATAATAATCTGTGAGAAGGAAACTGCTTCAGATCTCATACTTACGTTTTTTATACTGCTATATATGTACTGGTTGTACTTTGAAAGTAGTAAGGGTATACAGTGTGTTTCTGTTGGAAAGTTTTACACAGTGCAGGAAAGATGCCATGCTTAACGGGTTTCAAATGTCTGAGTCAGTAAGTCCTGAAAATGTCTGTTTTATGTATTATGTGGTTTATTTCAAGTAAAATATGTGATTTCTAGAGGCCTTTCAAAGGGGAGGCTTTGGGGCTGTGATGTTAAAGTGGAAATAGTGGCGCAGCCCTTGATCCAGAAAGTGGCAGCAGCCTTGCCGGGCACCGCATCACTGTCGCTGGGACCACGCTGACCCGACTGGCGTTTGTCTCGCACACAGGGCTCAGAGGAGAAGGCTGGCGTCCTCACTCGCATTGGCAGTTTCTTCAGCACCCGCCGGCGAAAGAGCAGCAGGAGCCTCTCTGAGACCTCCGAAGATGCCCCCCCGGGTCAGGACAGCACCCCCACACCCCCACCAGAGCCGGAGGTGCTGAGGACCCCGACGAGGAGCCCGCAGTTAGAGGCCAAGTTCCCCCACATTTCCGCATCAGAGTTGTGCATCGAGCAAGCAGACCTGGGGGGCAGCCTGTCCAGCCAGGGCGAGGGCGACCTCCCCTTTGCTGACAGCGACAGCCAGAGCAGCCTGCTGGAGGCGACGGCACGTGACGGTGGCACGCGAACGTCGAGCAGGGAGAGGCCAGGAGGAGCGCACGCTGACGCAGGAGAGGCAGGGAATGTCTGCAAGAAGCTACAAGTGTACCTGGAGGAGACCAGCATCTGCAGCGGGGAGGCGGCCGACGTGGGCCGCGGCGTCATCCGCACCACTGTGAAGAAGAACTTGAAGGCCGTTGCGAAGGGCAGCCCCAAGGGCGCGGCAGCGCCACCTGGCACTGCAGAGGGAACAGCGCCCACCAAGGCACCAGACAAACCCACTGTTGCCGGCTCTGATGGGACCGGGTCAAAATCCACAGACCTGCTGAGCTCGGATCCCACCCTGACGGAGGCAGACAGCAAGACGATGGGGAAGAGGAACTCGGGGAGGCGCAAGCTTAAATCCCAGGAAGCGGCGTTGTCCGCTTTTCCAGACCGCGCTCAAGAGCTGGTGAATAAGGTGGAGCTTCTTACTCATTCACCAGAGCCTCTCGGCAAAGCAGCGGACCCTGTTTCGGGCCAGGTAGAGCCTTACTCAAGCGGGCCGGAGTCCTGCCTGACTTCTGGCTCGGATTCTGGTGCATTTGCGGCTCCCCCACCAGTTAAGGCTGCAAAGGAGGTCTCCGCAGGAGTGATAGGATCTCCAGAGGCTACTGCCCTGTCCCTGCCCCCAATAGGAGGTGCTATTGAGGAGCCGGCGATAGCCATATCTGCAGCAGAACCCTTGGGGGAGGGAAGAACAAACAGAGATGTGTACCAGGAAGCGGCCGTTACGAGCCAGGAGGGTACCACCCAGAATCCTGTCCCAGAGGAGGAGGCGCTGAGCAGCAAGACCAAGCGCAGGAGCATTAAGCTGTCGCAGAGCCAAAAGGTCTTTGCCAAGAAGGTGTATGTGAACACGGATGACACCGTCGAAGAGGCATGTAAGAGAGAAAAGGACTCGGCAAGTGCGGTGACCAGGCAACCACAGAAAACAGAGGTCATACTGTGAGTATGAGCATGACACCCTCCATTTTAGCAACCGCTACTCAGGCAGCCTAGCCTGAAATTTAGGCTGGTAAGTTTAAGTCTGAATACAAAAGGAAACAAGGCAGACTTTAATCCCGGTGGAATCTACAGAGAGGAGTTCCTGAATGAACCTCGACTCTGCTGGCCCACGCGTCTGTCAGGTCATAAAAATAGAATGCTTAGTTGCTTTTCTTGCTTGTTAAATTCTGTAGCGGAGTAATAAAGAGCACTGGCTAATGTCCTGTATGTTTTTCTTTGAGTTTTCCAGCCCCTTGTGTCAGCTGTACAGCTAACGCTGTCTTAATGTTTTTGCTATACGAAGCAAAAATCAAACAAGATGCCTGTGGCTGAATTTAACTTACTAGTTAAAAACCAAAATGAAGTAACTTTCATTTGCTGAGACTTTTTGCAATAGTGTTTGTTGCAGGCCATGAATTATAAGATGAAACTTGTGAAACTTGATTAATGACTTGTGTGACATTTGGGTGTGAGCTTGATAGATTTTTTTCCAATATGGGTTTATATATGTAGTTTAATAGAGCGTTTAAGCAGTCAGTTAACCATAAAGAGAGGGCAAATGTCCGGTCATAATCTACATTTGATAGGAAGGATTTCATTTTTATTTTTGCTTAGTTCTGGTTTTATTTAGTAAGTTTTGTCACAATCCTTAGTAAACCTTACAAATAAATACACTCTTAGATGATAAGATACCGTGCCAGTCGTTTTAAGTTTTGCCTTGTTCTGTTCGCCGAACTCTGCAAAGTTAATTTTTTACCTGGAGCGAGCCGGCATTCACGCCGGAGATTCCCGGCACTTCTCACACCGCGGTGTCACTTTTGCACTCCGGTGTTTGGCTCCATGCGGGGAATCCCACCCACGCCAAGTATGGCCCTTAGGTGCTGATAGGTTTATTTTCTTGTCCCAAAAGCTGCATATTAATCAGGCTTCTGACATATTTCACATTTCAATGGGGGCAGTTTCACTTTACGTATTGCAAGCTGTGAGAAGGATTTTCTGGCTGGATGCACCTGCTTGGGTGTCACACTGACGCACCTCTGTCATGCATAGTTTGCTGCAGCCTGTGCTGCTTCTGAGCACCTGATCGTGGTGGCTTTGTGTGCACTGTGCCATAGCTGCTTCTGTGCTGTCTTCAGGACCGATGGCTTATTTTTTTTAATGGTTTTTTTTTTTCTCCCACAGGCCTCCAAAACCCAAAAAAGTGAACTTGGAGATTACAGAGGACCCCTGGACACCAACTGACATTGCAGCGAAAGTGGGATTGTTTGAGGGGCTGCGTACGGCCCAGAGCTACCATGTCATCAAGGTGGTAGGACCATCCCCTGAGCCAGTCAGGGAAACTGGAGTGGAGGCAGGCTTGGACGAGAGCGAGCAGGGTGCTGCAGCAATGGGGAAGAAGTCTCGTTCACGGGCAGCCAAAGTCAAGGGTGCTGGGGCCAGCAGACCAGTATTATCGGTGACAACATCAGGACATGGGGCCCAATCAGAGACCAGCTCCAATGTATTACAGTCTGAAGACTCATCCCCTTCCTCTGAACCAAAGGATAAGACTGGGAGGACCAAAGATCAGTTAGAAATGCGCTGGGTAGAGGAAACTTCTGCTGATACAGACAAAGCCCAGTCAGGTTCTGGAAGCGAAACGGCTGATGTCAGGGTCCTCACAGAAAATGAAGGGTCACCCGGAGATAAAGCTGCGGTGGCTGAACTTCCTAAAAAGTCACCAATGGATACAATTCAGAAGCCATTATTGGTTCCTGAATCTTCCGCTGTTACTGATAGCGTTTTACCTTTGGAATCTAAGGTGCAGAAAGACAAGGAAAAGGTTGCGGTGACAGATTTAACCACGAAAGAGCAATGTACTGTTCTGTCAACAAAAGAGGAACAAAAATCAGTGACTGAGGGGGTGAAGACACCTGAACAGAAGACCCCAGGAGCTGTCCAACCTACAGAACCCTCCCCTACAGTAGCACCCCCAAAGGTACGGCCCAAACCTAATAGACGGAAAGCTAGAGAAAACCCTGAACCTGTCAGCCCAACTAGTGGAAGTATCCCAGAGAAAGGTGCTGGAGTCCGGAGAGGTTCTTCTGAGCAGGTACAAAAGAGTGCAGTTAAAACCCAGGCTACAACGAAAGATCCCAGCGATGTTAAAAAGCGATTGCAGGCACGCAGTGAGCAAAGCACGGTCACAAAAAGCAAACTGCCCAAAGCCACCTGTCCAGAACCCCTGTCCCCCACCAAGAAAACCATTGATCTGAGCACAAGGAAGAATAAACCTAGCACAAAAATACCAGAAAAAGCTGATGTACCCAGCCTCGTACAGGATTCACCTACCGAGGCCCAGGTAGGAAGTAAGCTTCTGCGGGCAACGCATGGGTCAGCACAGCAAGTGACTGAGGAAACAGTGAGCAGTAAGAGAGAGTCACCATTGTCCCCCTCGCAGTTGGACAGCAAGTTGAAGAAACCCAACACCAAAGACCCTACAAAGGTAAATGAGCCTCAGAGTGACAACAGA